AACCTGTATCTCCCCACCGCGCTACTCACTTTGATCATGAATTTGTGTGTGTAAATCATGTTTGTGTATCCATATCATGCATCCATATCATGTATCCATATCATGTATCCATCCACCCCTGCATTCAACTGCAAGTCTGTCGTGCGCCGTCGCCAAGCCCCACATGTGCGACATGTGCGGAACTCAATTCGACCACACCAAGAAACAACCCAAGAATCATCGCAACCCGCCCCCATCCCTTCTCATGCACGAGACACCCCCCCCCAATCGAGTTGCCTCGCTGAACCCTCCTGCTCTGCCATGGCCGGCGCTCCTCTTCTGCGAATAGGTCTGGCTTGGGGGAGGGGGGGGGCCTCGGATTCCTGAGCGCTACGCAGAAAATAGTCGTCATGCCCGCCAAGACCGGAGCCGCGCAGCCGTGCCAGGCAGAGCAGGAACTCTCGTATACGTAGTAGTCTCGTATACTAGATGAAGCCGCCCAAGAACAGCCTCCCCTAAAAGAAAAAAAAACAGAGACGGCGCCGTGCGATCCTCAGGCCCCCGAGCCAAAATTACACCTGCCACGAGAAAACGCGCAGGCCACACGTCCCTACCCGCGGTACCTACATCATCCTGTACGAACAGCGACTACTGAACTGAACTGAACTGCCCCCCAAGGTTCGCCTACCGCACTGCCGTACCTGGTACGTACGTCGGTACGTATGTAGTGACCCCCCCCTCAAGGCCCCAGCTACGAGGCTGACAGCCCACGCCCCCCGCAACCGCAAACGTCAGTCGCGAGACCCAAGGCCAGCAACGCAGCAAGAAGGGAGCAAAGACGCTTGTCATCTCAGCTCCATACGCAAGCCCATCCACAATAACTAGTGACGTCCAGCCAGTCGGCTCCAGCTCCGTGCGGCCGCCGTTGTAGAATAAAAGTGTACGACGCCCCCATCAGGAGAAACGAAAGGACCGAAGAGACAGGAAAAAAAAAACACAGGCGCCCGGCGACTTGTTGGGAGCTTGGGCGCGCCGCCTCCTCCACTGGATGGACCACGTACGACGTGGCGCAACTTGCCGTACCAGAGACACGGCGATTTAGGGGCCCACGGGGGCTGATTCGACTGGTCGTCTGAACAGCGGACCTGTTGGGAGGATGGAAGGCGGCGAAAGAGGGACATGTACTCATGGCGTGCGTTCGCCAGGCAGACACGCCCCAAGCACATCATCTCATGTCACGTCACGCCACGTTTGGGGCGAGAGAAAGGGAGTAGAAACACGGCGCGCGCTGTTCGCAACCAAAAGCGATGTAATCATGATGACTTGATGTCGTAGTATCCCGCTCCCGAAAGCCACTCAAGGTGCTTTGGCCCCCCAGAATGCCCCCCTGCTCTCGACTCGCCCAATGCTCGCTCGCTCGCTCGTCTGATGTGTCCCAAATGCCCGCAATGCTGAGAAAGAAAAAGAATCATGGACGTCGCGCGCGCGCCGCCAGCCTCGTGAACACAGTCCTGAGCCCACTCAGGGTGTCGAGCCAAGACCACCCGTGCTACGCCATGTGCCAAGCACCCCAGAAACAAAGAGAGAAACAAAGCTCCGTGCGATCCGTGCAATCCGTGCAAACTACATCATTGTCAGTCATGAATGTCCCCGAGACTCCACACCACACAGACCAACGCGTCGAAGGAACTCATTTGACATCTGTCTCCAATCGCCCCAAGACAGACAAGTGGAAAAGGAAGAGAAACAGGCGAGGATATGAAACTTTTTGGTCCTATGGTAGTCCTCATCCGCGCTCGTCTGGCATCGAATGGTCTCCAAATCTATGTCTCCCTGGTCTGCTAGGCACTGCTAAGCATGGTGCACGGCCGGTATGCTTCCTGGTCCCTTGTCCTCGACTCATCCCGATGCCCGGGGCCGCCCAGTCCATGGCACCTGCTGCCCAACATTCGCCGTCTCACCCTCACTAGAGATCCTGACAAAGAAAACAGAAAAAAAAAGCGCCAAGAGACTACCTGTTCTCCCAGCCTAAAAGAATAATAGCACCTTGCCCCGCCAAGACCGTCAAGGTTGGTAATGCCCAAGGATACGTAGAATGAAAACAAACAAACAAAGAAAAATGACTTCGAGACATATGCCACAATTGGTGCGTCTCTGATCCTGGTACGCCGGAGGTAAATGCTTATGGGTATTGTGCAGAACTGATCCGAACTCTGATACGGGGAATCTCTTCGGGTGTGCGTGTGTGTCGGCCGTTTCGTTTCGTGGCCCCCCTGTGCCCGTTGCAGGGGAGCTTGAAGAAGTGTGGTAAGAGTGTCGAACAAGAGAAAATGAACACCAAAATTTCAGAGGGAAAATTTATGTGCAAAGAAGTGAAGATGTGCTGTTACAGTGGAGGCGGCCGACTTGGAATGTCGTGCAGAGGGGGGGGGGGTTTACCCCTGGGAGCCGTCGTAGCTAGACTTCTCCATGGTCGACTTGGGACTGATGTTATTGGATCGGTTGAAGATGGTGCGACCGAGCCCTCGAAGCTTGCCGCTGGTGTCGACTTGCGGGTCAACACAGTCCAGGAGGACGCTGTTGATCGGATCAACCTTGATTTTGCAGAAAAGTGTCGAGAAAAGATACTGTTCGCCGTTGTGGTCGAAGAGAGGGAGGGTGCGGTAGCCAGACTTGAGGCCACTCAGCTTCGCTGTGTACGTTGCGACGGGTGGCTTATCGTTGTATGTCTCGCCGTTGTGCGACAGCTTGACAGACCATCGAACAAAGATGAGATCTGGGTACTTCGTCGTCACCTTGAAGTTGCATTTGGCATCGAAGACGGGGTTGAAACCGTTCTCGGGGATCACGCCGGTGCGGTACTTGAGTGGCGTGTCTGAGACTGCCGAAAGAGCGGGTTCCGTCTCTTTCTTGTTCCTCTTATCGTTGGCGTGGAAGACCTCAATCTCAACAAAGGGGTCCACAGTCTTGGACGCAGCCATGCCGTTAGGCCGCATCAGCTGCTGGGCGGAAACGACATCGATGCTGAAGGTAACCTCCTTGCGCTCGCGTTTGCCGGACCAGCCTTCGGGGAGCACTTGGATTTCACGAAGCTCGCTAGGCTTGAGGACATATCCGGACCGATCAGTACCGCTGTCGAACATGGCCTGGTTGAGTTGCATGCCCAAGTCGAATGTCTGCCAGTTCATGGCGGCCATCTGCACGCCCCTTCGCCAGTAGACTAGAGGATCAAAGTTGGTCGACTGGTATCGGTATCGATCAGGGTAGACTCGCATCAGGTAGCGCATGTTGTGTCGATCCATGGCCTGCTTCGCCTCTTTGGGCCTGCTGTGCTTTTCAAAGCTCGACTCCATGAAGGAAAAAATGTGGTTGTACTCCTTCGCGTCAGCTGTGTCGAACCCGCCAAACTTGACACCCGCGCAGTAGACACCAAGATCGCCGAGGACCTTGACCGTCTTGTTGGGTGAATTCCGCTTCGATGGTGCCCTCTCGCCTGCGCTGTCGTTATCGCTCGTGCTGCTGCTCATGGTGTCCTGGACTTCACCCTCGGTGATGGTGTTGACACGGCTCTTGCTAACCAGGCGGCGCGACGAGTTGCTTGGGCTGAGGAGTGGGCTTTGCGGAAGCGACTGAGACGGGATGACGTTGTTGTCGAGTTGAACAGGTTTCGCATAGGGCGACGTGAGGCTGTTGCCACGCCTGCGGCCGGGTTCGGGGAGTTTTGGCTCCTCCTTCGACATGGGCTTCTTGACCTTGATGAGGATACGCTCCTTAAGCTCCTCAGGAGAAGGAAGCTTGTCAGCTGTGGGATCTAGGGGTTCTGTGACGAGGCGGGCCCCAAAGGTCTCCTTGATGATTCGTGCCATGATAGCCTGCTGTTGCGGGTTGCAGTGCACCTCAAGAGAAATCCAGAGCGGGTAACGCGTCTTGACAAACGCGTACTTGTTGATGGTCGTCATGGTTTCCTGGAAACCGATAGATGAGGTTAGCGTCCGGCCGTGGTTTACGGTAGGTTGGCCGTCAGCTCCATCCCAGCAGTCGACCTCGACACACCGACAGCCTCGTGCGAGGGCAGCGATGTAGCCCTCAACGCTAGAGAACCCTGCCACTTGTCTTCCCAAGAGGTACGTGTTGTGAGAGCTCGAGACAAGGTACTCGTTCATGGGCCGATCCAGAGTATACTCCTTGGGCTCCTTGGCCAGGGGGACGTTGTATGTCGAAGTGAGATAAGCAGCGAAGGCGGCATCACTCATGCCAAAATTGTCCGATGGCGCGTCCTTGGGCTTGAACTTGCGGGTGAACTTGAGATACAATGCCTCCCACCCGGCGAGATCGGCATCAACATCCTCCCCCTGTACATTGCGCAGGAAGTCATAGAACTCGTTCAGCGAGAGGCCGGCCTCGGGAGCCCTCGCCGTCTGCAGGTATACTTGACGAATGTCGTCTCTCCTCTTCATGTAGCCGACGAAGGTTTGAAACTCAAAGTAGTTAAGGCGACCGGTCTTGGTGGTGTCAGCTGCATGGAACTTTGCGCGAAGCTGGCTGGGCGACGCATGGATGTGCAATTTTCGACAGACGTCCTGGACGCCTTGAAAGTTGAGGTCTTCGTCGTCAGGGGAGTGAGGCTTATCAGCGAACTGCTTGGCCATCTCGGTGCGCCAGTAGTCGCGGATCGCCCGGTCATTGAAGGCCATGAGCGACGACATGAGATCCTGGCGATGCTTCGAAATGGCCTCTAGGGTGGTGACCCAGTTGTAGAAGACACTAGCATCATCGGCAATGAGATGCATCATTTTGCTCTTGGACTTGTCGGGCACGGCGTACAAAATAGAGAACCAGCGGGGCTCTTCCGATTCTGGCACGCCAAAGTCGAGTCGGTATTGTCGAATATCAGAGCCGACCCTGATCTCTTTAATGTCGTCGATGTAGAGGGCCTTGTGAGGACGAGCTCGGTCCCACGAGATCTTGGCGGCGTCTGGCTCCAGAAGAAGTATGAATCGCTTCCCACGGTTCTTCTTGGACACTTTGCGGATCCAAGTACCCTTGAGAAGCTGAAAAGGAATCACAGGACCAGCCATTGTATTTGAAGGTGCATTCGAGCCGGCAACGGAGGCGGTCGTGCTGTTTGAAGACGAGTCTCTTTGTGTGCCATCAAAGCCGACTTGCGATCGGAGCTCGTCTTGCTCATCAACCGAGTCATCATCAGAGTCGGTGCCGACGATGGGAAAGTCTGGCGGGGCTGTATTGTTGCTGTCACTGCGGCGGCGTAGCATGCCCGGGCCGATGCTGCCGTCCCGACTGTTCGGTGCGGCAGAAGACGGCCTGCGACGGACAAAGGACTTGGTTGCCCGGTTTGAAAGCCGCCTGATGATCCCGCTTTTGCTTGTGACAGGTTCCATGCCACTGGGGGTGCTGCTTATGCTGTGGGGCAGAGAGTTCTGGCTCGCTTTCCTGTTGAGCACGGGCTCAGGCAGTTGGAAGGTGCCCTGAGATACCTGGTCGTGAAGCTCTCGACCACGGAAAGGCTCTGGAGACACTTGGACAGAGCTGTTGCTCGTCATGATGGCACCGTCTGGGGACATGATGGGGGAGCACTGCCGTGAGCTTGAAGCCACGGAAGATGAGCTGACGGCGGAAGCAGGCATTGACGCCTGTTGTGAGGAGGGTGTTATATTGCTGGTTTGCACCTGGGCCGGGCGAGAGCGCCTCGACTCGGTCGTCTGGGGCGTCATGGTGAGATTGCCCGAGGAGGAGGAAGCTGAAGTGAGTGGTGAGGGCGAAGATGTGTAAGGAGGCATGGTGGTTATGGTCATGGGTCGCAGACACCACTAAGGGGGCGCTCGTTGGAGCAGGGGCCCCGGTGAGGAGCCCGGGCGGGCGACGGGTTGTTTATGAAGAGAGATGCGTGGTTGGTGACGGCATCCTTGGAGAAGTTTGGCCCTGTGGAACGGCCCGCGTAGGGTAACGGCGAAGGTGCGGGGTGAGCGTTAGAGGACGATCGCGAGAGCAGGGACGTAGATGGTGTGGTGGTTTATATGACGGTATATGCCAGGTGGAGGCAGCAATTGTGGCAGATGGGGTCCGTAGGTGGTCACCGGGTGGTGCGGCGCATCGAAGACTTCTGAGGTGGGATGGTGGTATCGGTACCAAAACGAGACCTCGCAGGGTAGTTGTGGGCGTGCAGGCAGGCAGGCAGGCAGGCAGACAGCGAGACAGGCAGGGCAAGCTCTCTTCTCCGTCTTCTCTCCGTCCACGGGGGTGTGAGACGGCTGGAGGACCAATTGTGGTGGGCAGGTGGTTCCCTCGGCTCGAAGCGCAGCCTCTCGTCCGTCTGGGGTCCGATCTGGGGGACAGCCGTGGGTCTTGGGGCCTCGTCGCAAAGGCTCACGGGCGCGCGTGGTGAGGTGGCAGGTGTATGCGTATGCAAGTCGCTGGTTTGGGCAGCTTTCCAGGCTGGTAGAACTGGGTCTCAAGCGTTGGCGAATCTCAGGTTCTGTTGCCCCCGCGGGTTTGTGGATGTGGTTGTGATTGTGCTGTGTGGCTTCGTCGCACAGAGGGTTTCGTTGTCCTCCAGGGATGTCTTCCGTCAGACGGTGTTCGTGTAGTGTAGTGTAGTCGTATATTCGTTTTTGTGCAGAGGAAGCAGGGGCGATGCGCGCGCAACGCGAAAATGCAGGTGACTCAAAAGTTGGAAGTCGGGTATGCAAGGCTCGATGGGTTTGTCCACTCTGGGGCTTGGTGCCGCCTGGGTTGTGCTTGTTGGCCAACGCTATAACCGTACACTCATCGAGTTGTCGTTGGCGTCCGTCCACTGCGAGACTTGCGCTCTTGTGTGTCGTTACGAGTTGCGAGATGCTGGAGTTGCCCAGTCAGGAAAGGTAGCCAGGAAACTGGTGGTGGTGGTGGAAGTTGCAGATGAAAGTGCGAATGGTGTAGGTGGTGGATGGAGCGTGGCCGCAAGTCGGGTCTTAAGTGTGGGAAGGCGCCGTTGGTGCCGGGAAATTGTACGTCGGACGGGGCGGGAGGTAGGCAAGGGGCCAAGAGCTTTATTTGGGGATGTGACCAGGGCAGGGCCATATGTCAAGAGACGACTGGGGGTTTTTTTTGTGATTGGGATTGGGATTGGGATTGGGATTTTCTGCGCAACACGGGGGGGAGTGGAAAGGAATGAGAATGGGCCTGAGAATGGATACGGGCCAAGGGCATGGGGGATGGATGATGGGATGGGATGGGGGGGGGGATGAATAGCTGGCAAGGGCGGGGGGGGGGGGGGGGGGGGGCGTGTGGGAGACGAAGAAGGCACGATGGACTCTTTCTCGGTCTGGGGTGGACCTGACAGCGAAAGCACGAAGCTAAAGAAAGATTGGCACACAGGAACGTACATGTACCTTACTGATGACGGCGGTCGTGGCGCTGGCGCTCAAGCGCGACTGCTGATGGTGACTGGAGCTTGGGGGCCGGGGCAGGACATGCCATGTACCAGCCAAGCACCAAACAGATGGGAAAAGGAGGCGCCCAGACAGAGTACAAGGCGTCCGAAATGCTGTCCCAGGCCCGAGGCAAGGTCAGGTGGAATGCGAGGGAAACCGATACCAAGGTGAGCAGTGGTTTGGATTCGAGGAAACCACACCGACGAAAAGTGGGTTCCCCTGACAGCGAAGCAAAGCCAAGTACTGCACAGTGAAGCAAAGCAGAGCAAAGCAGAGTAGAGTGACTCTGTCTCCTGGGTCCGTGTCAGAGACAAGTCGGCCCCCAGGGCATGGATGGACTGGATGGGTGTGAGACCAGAAAGAAAAAAAAGTTAGTGGGACAGGGCAGAAACAGCAATGACAGCGTGTACTATGTCATTCGCACCCGGATAAGGCAGCGATTTGAGTGCAGGGGGGACCAGGGCGCAAGAGGAGAGGCGGGGGCAGGGCTTCGGGCGCCAAAGAGGCGAAAAGAGAGATGCCCTCCACCCTGTTTACCAGTGACGGCAGACGGGTGTGAAACTAAAGGTGGGCGGCCAGCAGTGTCTGTTTCTGGTGCAAGTCCGGGGGCGTGAGGAAGGGGGCAAGGCGCCGGAGAAGGGGGTGTGGAAATCCGTGGATCGCAATGCAGTGGTGGGAGGGAGGAAGCGATGGGGGAGAAAAAGTTGGCGGAATCAGGCTTTACTGAGAACGTGCTCTCTAAGGCAAGTTAGGTACGGTAAGTGAGCGACTTCGTGTACCTACCTAAGGTCCCTTAGGTGTTCCCTCCACCCTTCTCTCTCTTGCTTACCTACCTACCTAGGTACCTCGGGTGCGGCAAGGTTCTGCGAGAGAGGTACGTATCTTCTGATCAACCCACCACAGTGGTGGTGTAGTAGTGTCCCTGAGCCCGAGTGTCCCCATGCCCTCCTCGCTGTACCTTTGTGGTAGGTTCCTGTCCTGGACATGGGGCCCTCCCCCTCCAGGCCATTCGCCTGCCCCCCCCCCCCTCCCCCCCCTAAAAAAACAGCCTTCGGTACACGGCAGCCAAGCTGGCAAATGGTAGAGAAGAATGTCCGAGACGCGAGACGAGAGATTGGCCTGAGGGGCAACGACTGGAGCCAAATCAATCAGAAGGGGCGCGCGGCGGTCAGGGAGAAAGTGGGCAAGACATGAAATCGACAGGGAGACTGGCCAGAGTCAGTCAGGGTCAGGACGAGAGAGTTGCTCGTTCGCGGAAACGCTGATCATCCAAGTCACCTCTTTCAGATGGTTGGTGCATCGTCCTCGCCGCCTCTACCGTAGCCAAGAGTTGAACTCAAGAATTGGCGGTGACACATGAAAAAAGGGGCCGGAGAATGGGATCTCCTGACGAAGCGTCGCAACACCCATGTCGAGGGTATGCCGTTCCAGGAACGTCGTCAATGACGGTGCTGGCACACAGCGCGTCGAAAGAGCCCCTCAACCGTGTCACCTGGCTCCTCCTCCATCGCCAGTCAGCATCAGCGTCATCCCCGCAGCCAGAGCGAGCGCCTCGGGAGGATCGGGCAACTGCAAGACTGATGCCCATAGCTGGCATGCATTGGTCGTGGCGGGAGGCACTCCTCACACGCTCAACGCACACGTACACGAAGCAAGTTCCTCACCTCACCGAGGCGAAACCACACAAATTGACAGGCAATCAACCAAGGTTTCGAGAGACAGCCCATATGTAGAGGTTCAGGGCAATGGAATACCTACAGTCTGGTACTTTGCCATGTGCTTGTCTACAGGTTCCATCCGGCAGGGGTGTGTGTTGTGGGTGAGCTACAGTACCTAGATGGGATGGGTGTCCTGTGTTCCTGGGAGGGGGCGTGTCGTGGGCGAGGACGAGAGCACTCCTCCTCTGGGAGCTGTGACTTTGAGGTACGATCATTTGAAAGGCAGCTCAGCTTGAAAGGTCAGGCAGGCAGGCAAGGCACAAATACCAGCCGGAGCCACGAAGCTAGCCCGTCGTGCATCCATCGGTTCGTCAGTTGTTCATCAACAACCTGGGACATGCCTTATTCGGGCCCTCATCATCATGACCGCTCCCTTCGTCGTGGGTACCTTTGTTCAAGGCACCCAAATCGTGTAAGCCTTGAAAGCAAAGTTGTGTTGAAGAACGATGATCATTGTCCTCGCCTCTACCAAGCCCCAGCCCCAGCCCCAACCCCAGCCCCAACCCAAGAGCTCGAGCCTGACGAAGCGTGAAGCCCATCCCCCATCAAACTGGGCCGAACCCCCACAAGAAGCTCTGCTGGGAAAAGTGGGACAGCAGGTCTCGGATCTTCTGTGGCGAACTTGCTTGGCTGTTGCACCCACGTCACCAGGTACCAGGCCAGGGGCGGCAGCCCAACCCAAAACATCTGTACTGGTGACTCCCTCAACACCCCTGGCTCTGGAGCACAGGTAGGGCCTTTCCACTTCGTCTCTCAAGGCGATTGCTGAGGTCCAGTTTAATCATGTTGCTAAGTAGGGAGAGATAATCAGTTTGGGTAAGGCCGCCCCCCCCCCGGTGGCCAGCGCTTTCACACTTCCTCGCTACTCCCCTCTTAACCCAGGGCCGGAGCTGTGGGCGGGAACGCATCCAAACTGACCCGGCTGGCCGCTCGCCCGTCGTCTCGGTGCCATGTCCCGCTTGGCCTCCAGCTAGGTAGGTAGGCATGAGCCCTGTGCAGTGAGGTCACTCTTCAAGGTCACCTACGAAATCCCCAGGCTCGGAGACCAGGACGCGGCGTGGTTTAGCCTGACGTGATGCTTGCCCGCGTAATTGGTGCCAGAGGTGCCGAGGAACCGCGACTGGGACTGCCCTGTATCGATAGACACACCCCCGTCGTCTACCCCTTTCGCTTCTCGCATGCTCTTCCCTCCTGTTGCATCTACCTTCGCCTTGCTCTGCCTCCTGCCTTCTACCTGTCCTTCCATTCTTCCTTCGATGGGATTCAGGGAACCCCCCCCCTCCCCCCCTGACGCCCTGCTGGCCTTGCCTGCTCTGCTTGACTCGACATTGGCTCCCATTTGCCTTTGCTCTGAAGCCATCGTCGTCGAATTGCATCACACGCCCCTTCATGCATCATGGCCCATCACATCTGCACACATCACATCGTCTTGTTCCATAAACGTCATCCTCAGTATCCCCTGACACCACTCAACCCTTGCCGTCGCTCTGACTGCACCCTCGACTCGAGCACATCACTCTTCCAGTGACTCGTTTTCCACCGCCGGAGACTGGTGCGGCTCGGGGCTCCCTCATGCAATGCACAAGATCATTGGTGCTCCGCCTGTTCCTTGACGATGATCGGTATCCGGATGACGGTTTCCCATGATAG